ACAACCTAGAGCTAGACAAGACAAGACAAAGTTCAAGTAAAAGACTGTTTGCACTGCGGTGGTACACATGAGGCACAGAAATGCCCGGCATTTGGGAAAGTTTGTTTCAGATGTTTGAAGAAAAACCACTTTGCTAAAGTCTGCAGGGGAACGTTTGCAAGTGGAAGGAGTGGCAGTGTCCAACAGAGACATGCTGTTTATGATGTACAGAGTTTGTTTGTAGGCATGTTATGCCAAGAGACATTCAACATAGAGGGGGTGCAACCAGCAGGCTGGTATGCAGATATAAATGTGGGAGGTCATCCAGTAAAATTTAAATTAGATACAGGGGCAGAAGCCAATGTACTTCCTAGGCAAATATTTGAACAGCTGCCGGGCAGCAATGTACTTAGGAAGAGTCAAACGATCCTGGTTGCATATGGTGGATCTAAGATAAAGCCCTTAGGCACAGTTGTGCTGGAATGTTGTACAAGCAAAGGGAGGTACGAATTGCTATTTCATATAATAGATGGGACAGCGATGCCTTTGCTTGGGAGGGCAGCCTGTGAAGTACTGGATCTTGTTTGTCGTGTAGATATTGTGAAAAAACCTGAACCGGATGATATGATAATAGCGGCTAAAACTCTAGAAGAGCACGATCAAATAGTATGTCAAGTGATGGAGACAGCAAAGGAAAAGAATATAAAGTTTAATAAGGAAAAAAATCAGTTTAGAGCAACCTCGAGCATATCAGGTGGTGACAGATAATGGCCAAGTGTATATAAGAAATAGACGGAGGCTCAAAGCTCAGAAAGAGGGGGATAGTAGAGGAAATATCGAAAAAGGAGAAGGGAATAGAGAAAAATAGTGAGGTACCAGAATATCATAGGCAACCGATATATGTTACAGCACATGGCAGATCAGTGTTTCGACCTGAAAGATATGGATTTTAAATTTAATCATTGTTTTAAATATTGAAATGTCATTATTGTTATTTTAACTATGAAAGGGAGATGTGGTGTATATCTCTTTAACATGGAGTTGTATTAGGGTTAGGGTTAGGGTTAGGGTTATATTGTTTCTATACACCTGAAAAGGATTAAGAGAGGCACTCCTCCCTCTCTCCGTTTTTAAGCATTCTTCCCAGCAGGTCGGGGCTTATGTTATTATTGAGGAAACTATTGATTAAACGAGGTCGTGGACCTGAACTGTGTTGTGTCTGTGAGTAGTGACTGCGGGGCTAGAACGAGCTGCACCGTTCTCCATTGAGAGACATTACACTCTTTCAGAAGAATGGAATTTGGCTGACTGCCTCCTCCGCTATAAAGTAAAACCTTCGAAGAAGCATGTGCTCTGTTGTTTGACTGTGGGTCCTGACATACAGGAGGTTAGGAAAGGTTCTTGCTGCCTGTGCTGACCAGGGTGTCCAGGCCACAAGCCAGAGACGTGGGGGAGCCCTGGGAGGCAGCAGAAATTCAGCCATTCAACATTCGGCTGGTTTGGGGACCAAATTGGGAGTCTCCCTGCTGTCTTGGGCCAGAGATAGAGGCTGAAGTAGAGCCAGAGGCCAGTCCAAAGAGAGCTCCTCTCCTAGGTCCACAACCTCCAGAGGTAGAATTGTGTGTAGGAAAAGAGGATTGCATTTAACCCCTGTTGATTTATGTCCTGTTGGTTCCTAGTGTGTGCTTACTCCTACAGTTGTGCCTTATTCGTTTAGCATGTATGTGTGTGCTCCATAAGTGTGTAAATAGTTAAATCCTTTAATTTGGACTAATAGTCTGTGTTGTGCTCTGACCACATAGTCTTCCTCACTCTGCACAATACCTCGAGAGGAAGAAGAAGAGAAGAGATTGAATTTATACTCCATGGTCCTTCACTACCCAAAGGAGTCTCAGAGTGGCTTACAAACTCCTTTCCCTTCCCCTCCCCACAACAGACACCCTGTGAGGTGGGTGGGGCTGAGAGAGCTCTTGATAGAAACGGCTCTTTCTTCAAGGACAGCTCTTATCAGAACTACGGCTTGCCCAAGGTCATCCAGCCAGGTGCAAGTGGAGGAGTGGGGAATCAAACCTGGTTCTCCCAGATTAGAGTCCATGCACTTAACCACTACACCAAACTGGCTACACCTAGAAGGGGGGGTGGCCCAGGGAAGCAAGGGAAGGCCAGACCCTGGGATTGCCAACTTTCCAGGGAAACCCCCCCCCAAAGATTGGGGATTCCATCTCCAAATAGGGAGATTCGGCCAGAGGGGTCTCACTGGAGTGTGATATGCCCATGGGATGAGGGTGGGAGGTGAACAGCTGAGTTGTAAACTGGAACCCGTTTTGCCACAGTTCATATCCCATGATTACAGCTTAGAACTTCAGCTCCCAAGCATGCTAAAGGGAGGGGTGTGTTCTGGTTTTTAGCTGTGGATACTCGTTGGGGATCAGCAGCTCCACATATTGGGTGAGCGGGCGATAATGTGGCAGCTGAGGTTCAATGCTGGCAAATGTAAGGCACATGGGAGAAAAATCCCAGCTTCAGGTATAAACTAAAGAGGTATGAACTTGCTGAGACTGAGAGGGGAAAAGAACTTGTGGCCCTGGTGGATATATCAATGGGTGCCCAGTTTCCCCCCCCAACAACAACTTACAGAGCTTGACAATGACATCTGAAAAGTGACACCCCTCAATCCAAGCTGAAAAACCAACAACTGTCCTGTTTGAAGGTATCCTGGGAAATGGAGATTTATGCTGCCATCATTCTGGTGATGCATCAACAGAAAGAAACACCGTGATGAAATTGACAATAACATTTAATTCTTATGAACATCAATAAAAACGTATGCAATGTATCTCAGGAAATTCTAACACATTCAAGAAAAAGTCCACCATCACTGAGAGAAGAAGTTGGAGAGGACCTGAGAGACATTTTGGCAGTAGCTTTAGCACCACTGACCTACAACGAAGCAGAAAAAATAAAAGAAGAAATGGATCTGGTCTATAGGGCCTACTCCAATTTCACAAGAAAAAATAAGTTGCCAGCAGAAGTGGTTGTGAAATTTACAAAACAACGTCTCAGGGACCAGATTCTAAAGGCTACATCAGCGTCACCACTGAAGATTGGAGATCAACTGATCAGAATCCTGAAAGATGTTCCATTTGAAATCAGAATGAAAAGAAAGGAATATAAGGGGTTGACCATCTTCTTACAAAAACATCAAATGAGTTATAAATGGCTGGTGCCCGAAGGACTGGTTTTCAAGTTTAAAGAGAAAAGAGAAAAAATAGACTCTATCTTCAAGGCTCAAGAATTTTTGAAAAGGCACGCCAGTAAAGAAGAAGGAGCAGAATTGGCCAAATGGATGTCAACATTAAGCGTGGAAGACAGCAGCTCGGAGGGAGAGGTGAAGGACGAGGAAGGCGGAGCAGCGACAGGATTGAAATATAACCTGAGAGAGAAGAAAGAAAAGGACCCCAAAGTTTAAAAGCTTTCTTTTTTCTTTTTTTTTCGGATTACACTTTGGAAGAGAAACTAATCCCAAAAGGACATTACTAATATACTAATTGCCATATTTAACAGAAATAGAAGAAAAGAAGAATGTCTGACGATAGAAGAAACTATGGACTATTAACTTTTAATAATAAAAGAGTAATATACTAATACATTAACACCACTCAATCTTTTCTTTATCCCTCTGTATACCCTTCCTTTTTTCTAATTTTAAGCGAAATATCTCTCCTCTTTAGGAGAGGGAATAAATCATTTTTTTAAAAAAGAAAAAAGAAAAAGTCCACCATCCTCTATGAGCACCTGGTTTTATACTCATTTCAACAATCTTCCTCAGGAGTAGTCCCGTTACGTTAGAAGGTGTCAGCCTCTTGATACAGCTTAACTTCTTCTTTTGCTTCCTTCAAATAGTTGCAGCATTAACTTCCTTTTTTGCTTTCTTCAAATTATTGCAGCTTAACTTCTTTTGAAAAAGAAGTATTGATGTATTTCCTGTGATCCCTTCTTTGGTTTTCTCATCATTCTGGTAATGTCACCCAAACTCCACTGGCAGTTGGCAAAGGTGCAGGTGAAGCAGTCTGGTAGGCCTGAAAAATGATTTAAAATCCAACTATGCCTGTGATCTCTTAAGTATTTCAGATGTCTGGAGACGTTATGAAAGATCAGACTCCAGGTCAATATGCTGCACCTCAAGGGTCTGTGGCCTGGGCAGTCAGAGGAGAGTGCTTGCCAGTGTTGCTGGGAAAGAATGATGACCAGTGTTCCCTCTAAGCTGCGGAGTCTTGTGAGCAAGAGTTCTACTTTGTGAGCTACTGGCATTAAAGTGGTGAGCCAGCGATTTGGCTGATGCATACATTAGTTTGCTCTGGAGCCCTCCTTCCTGAGCAAAGACAACAATGTGTGAGCTGGAGGCTAAAAAACTGTGAAGTAGCTCACACTAACTCAGCTTAGAGGGAACACTGATGATGACCAAGAGATAAGAGGCAAGGATTCTGCAACATTTTGGCTTTTGAAGCTACATGAGTCAATGTAACAAGAGACAATCTGCACCCACCTCCCCATTCCCATGTTTCAGGGAATGAGGTGTACAGCAGCTGCCCTTGTAGGTACAATAAGCTTAAGGTAGTGGTGTGTGAAAGAGTGGATGGAAAAGAGATCTTGGAAGCTGTGTATTATGTCATTTGGGAGGAGATGCCAAGAACAAAGCGGGGAATGGCAGGGGGAGGCCATGGCAGCCACTGGGTACCTGTGGGCAGAGGGTCCTCTGCATGTGCAGACCGAGGCCTGGGAGTAATCTGACCCACTCTGGAGTGATGCTGGACCTGCCCCATGTGCCCCCGCTGCACTCTGGATCTAATGAAATGCTGCTATTATAATCCTCAGATCCATGGAGCAGTGAAAGCTGACACTTGATCCTCTCTGGTCTCAGCAAGCCCCGTTGCCGGAACTTTTCATAATCTCAGTACTCAGCCTCCTTAGCCAGGGAGCCTCAGGAGAAGGAGTCACCGGATAAGGACCAGGACTGAGCAATGGGCAACAAGCAGACCACCTTCACTCTGGAGCAGCTGGACGCGTATCAGGTGAGAGCCCTTTCACTCCCTGGGACACTCATCGCGTCTCTCTTACATGCACGCATCTTGTGCACCCAGATAAACGCTGCTAAGGCAGAAGGATGAGAAACCCTTTTCCCGCTGCTTAGAAGCAGAAAAACACCTCCCTCTTCCAACATGGACAGGAGGCCCAAGAGCACCCCACGGCCTCTGAGAGGAGAAAAAGAGGAGGAGTCCAAGACTGTTACAACAGGGTCAGAAATTACTCTGGGGTGTGGGCCTGACACACCTATCTCTGACTTGAGATTTCTTCTATTTTAGGACACAACATTTTTCACCAAGAAAGAAATTCTCAGGTGAGGGAATTTTTCAATACCAATGTGTAAAATCCAGCCACTTGAATATGTGTTGTGAAAAGATTTGATCAATTAAAATGTTCATACCCTACTTTTCCTCTTTGCTCATACTGGCTTCAAGGAATAAGAATGACTGGGCCAGAGTTATTGTCCACATTTTTCTCCACAGAAGGAAGTGTGGCGTTCAGGCCTTCCACAGACACCAAAGACATAACTCCATAACTCCATAACTTTGGCATCCTGGTGACTCAAACCATTGCTTTCCTGGAGCTTAGGAAGTCCCACAATGCCAGAGTTTAGGATGCCTACAGGACAGGCTACAATGTGCACCTCTGCCAGGCACCAGAGGTCTCTTGAACCCACCACCATCCCAACTGTGTACATCTTAAATAGCAGGGGGGGACAACCTCCCCCTTTAAGAATCAGTACTTTATGAGTTGGGGTGTTGTTTTTTTAACGTCTTGGTTTCTTTTTTGAAACCATAGCTATTACAGAGGGCCCAAAGTGAGGGGAGGTTTTAAAAAATCAAGGGGAGAGAGAGAGAGAGAGAGAGAGAGAGAGAGAGAGAGAGAGAGAGAGA